CCGGCCTGCCGGGGCCCGTGCCCCCCCGCAGCCCCGCCTCTCCCTGCTGAGGAGCCCGTCGGGGTGTCTCCTGACCTGTGAAGGTGCTGGGTGAGGTCCCGTGTTTCTGTAGTGATGAGTGATTCTGTCGCCACTGGTCACCTCTCCTGACAAAATGAGTGGCTGCTGCCTTTGGCCGGTGTGACCTTCTCTGTGATCATTCCGGTCAGGGTTCAGGACTTGCCGTGGGACTTGCCCACCTACAGGGAGTGGGAACAGGGAGGCAGGACCACAGGGTCCTCGGGGTGACCTTGATCCCAGCCCCAGTCTCCAAGGCCCATCAGGAGCCTTCATACCCGTGGGTGCTGACGTCCCCTCCATGGCTGAGATGTGTCATTGTCACTGAGTGCCTGCCAGGCCAGAGAGGAGCAAGGCCTCCCAGGGAGTGGGCCCCACCCTCGGCCCCAGGCGGCCTCAGTGTCCTGTGGGTTCCCAGCTGCACTGAGGGTGGCATCTCCTTGAGGAGTTCTGCCTGTTTTTACAGAAATCCACAAAAACGTCATCAGCCCCTCGGACATGAGCCACATCAAGGAGGAGGTCCTGCAGAGCCGGCACGCAGAGCTGAAGGACCGGCTTCGCGCCATCAACCAGGGCTTCGACCGCCTGCGGAAAGTCAGCCACCAGGGCTACGACGCCGAGAGCGGTGAGCCGGGTGCCTCCTGCCATGGGGTCACAGGGGTGCCTCCTGCCATGGGGTCACACCCGCGTGAGTGCGTCCCCGTGTGCGTCCTGCCATGGGGGTCACATGCACATGTGTGCGTCCTGCCGTGGGGTCACCCGCATGTGAGTGTGTCCCCGTGTGTGTCCTGCCATGGGGTCACCCACGAGTGCGTTCCCGTGTGCGTCCTGCCGTGGGGTCACACCCGTGTGAGTGCGTCCCCGTGTGCGTCCTGCTGTGGGGTCACACGCACGTGTGTGCATCCCCATGTGTGTCCTGCTGTGGGGTCACCCACATGTGAGTGCGTCCCCGTGTGTGTCCTGCCATGGGGTCACCCACATGAGTGCGTCCCTGTGTGCGTCCTGTCATGGGGTCACACTGTGTGTGTCCTTGTGTGCATCCTTTGGGGTCATGTGTGTATGTGTGTGCATGCACCCATGTCTGTCCTGCTGTGGTATTGCACCCGTGTGCATCCTGTGGGGTCAGGCCCTTGTGTACATGTGTGCCATGTGCATCTTGTGTGGAGTCACACCATGTGTATGTGTGCCCCCATGTGTCCTGCTGTGGTGTCACACTTGTGTGCATGTGTGCATCCTGCTGTCATGTCACATCTGTGTGTGTGTGTGTTTGTGTTGTGCTATCATACTGCACGTGTGTGTATGCTTGCATGTGTGCAAATTTACTCCCGGCATGTACCCAGCCCACAGCCCTGTCCATAGCTTTGTCCACCCCCGCCCCCACCCTGAGCAGAGGCCTTTGCTTCTGGAGGGCAGGTGGGTCAGTGGGTACATTGGAGATGCTCGTCACACACGTCTGTGGTGTCAGGAAAGGATTGCCCTGGCACCGAGCTCCCAGCAGGATCCCGTGAGCCTGGCCACAGTGGTCGGGGAAATGGGCGCTTCCTGTTCTCATCTGGGACCCCCTCCATCCTGACACCTGCTCGCGGCCGTGTCCGCCCAGCAGACCTTGCAAATTGCAGGCCCTTTGGGGCCAGTGGCAAGGAGGCAGTGGGGGCCGCCGTGGAGGCCCACCCAGGAAGCCAGTGGGCTCAGGGGGTCTGTGCACTTTGCTTTGCTCTGCTCTGGGTGAGAGAGGTGGGAGGCGGCCAGCAGGTGACCCAGGTGTCTTCCCTGTGCCCTGGGTGCCCTCTGCTTGACCTAGGGAGCAGGGGACTCATGGGCCATGTGCCAGCCGGGCCTGTGGGCTGCAGAGGGAAGGAGGAAGATGCCTGTGTGTGCTCTGGGTGACACTAAACACGCACATCGTACACGTGTGCTCATGCAGTCGCGTACTTGGACGTGCTCAGCAACATGTGCATCTGCGTGTTCACAGGCGTGCACATTGTACACATGCTCACACACTCGCACACTTGGACGTGCTCAGCAACATGTGCACCTACGTGTTCACAGGCTTGTGCACATCGTACACATGCTCACACACTAGCACACTTGGACGTGCTCAGCAACATGTTCACAGGCTTGTGCACACACACTCACGGTGGGCAGTGCTGGGCAGGGCTGTGGCTCTTCCCGGTGCTGCGGGTCACGCTGCCCACCTCCCCCGCAGAGTTTGAGGAGCCCCGAGTGATCGAGCTGTGGGATTTGGCCAAGTCTGCGAACTTCACCAAGAAGGAGCTGGAAGCGTTCCGGGTACGGTTGGCGTGAGGTCCACGTGTCTGTTCCATGTCGTCTCGGGTCCAGAAGGACCGCCTGACACTGCTGCTCTTTAACCGCGTGGTGAGCGGGGTCGGCACGCGGTCTGGACCTGCTTCCCTGGCTCTGTGCGCTCGTGACCTGTGCTCCTCTGTCCTGGTCCTCAGCCCTTGGGGCCCAGGTGCACATATCCCTGCCTGTCCCTGAGCACCTGCAGGGGGCCCGCGATGGCCCCAGGGGCGGGATGTTTGTCCTTGGGGAAGCTGAGGTAGGCTGAGGGCTTGGCTGGGAGGCGACACTGGCTGCCAGGTTAGGATGCGGGTGGGGCTGTAGGAAGTGAGCAGATCTGTTCAGAGAAAGACAGTAGGACCCGCGCTTGGCCAGCAGCTCCAAGACTTGGCAAGTCAGTGCGGAGTGCAGATGTGGGGGCGTGGCCGGGGTGGCCCCGGCTGGAGGGTAGGGGGTGCTCCCTCTCTCATCTCAGATGAGGGGTGTGGGGGGCGCTGTCAGTTGCAGAGCAGCCGACCACAGGTAGATTCCCAGAAGTGGGAGCACAGGGGCCTGGGGCGGAGGGGGCGTGGACTCAGGGCTTGGCAGTTACGGGCCAGGGGGAACCTGGGAAGGGGGCGTGGACTCAGGCGGGGACTTGCCAGTTACGGTCCCAGAGGGAGCCTGGCAGGAGGCAACCAGCTGGGAGCAAGTGCAGTATTTTACGAGGGTGCTGGTAGACATATGCACAGGGCTGTGGGGACAGGGCAGAAGTAGGACAGAGGTGAACGGCTGCAGGTTCTGGTCTGGCCTCCGGGGGCGGGGGATGGGGCAGCAGCTGGTCGAGGCCACAGGGGCAGGGTGGTGGTGAGGAAGGAGGGCGGGGCTGAAGGTGGACACGGGTGCTGCTTGGAGCCAGCAGGTGTGGGTGCCCCCACCGAGGCATCAGCTGGGGGACGGCAGTCGCATTTCAGAGCCTGAGCGTGATGGCCTCAGTTCAGAACCCGCGTTTGTGGCCCTGCGTCTGTCCCACTGCCCTCCGTGGGGACTCTGGGCATGGCTCCTGCCCACCCCCCGGGCCCGGTGCCACCTGCTGGCAGGCCCTGCAGGGCCCCGGCACGCACAGGGTTGACTGGCCCGGGCCCGCAGGAGGAGCTGCGGCACTTCGAGGCCAAGGTCGAGAAGCACCAGCACTACCAGAAGCAGCTGGAGCTCTCCCACCAGAAGCTGCGGCACGTGGAGGGCGGCGGGGACCGGGAGCTGCTGACCCGCAGCCGCGAGAAGTACGCGCTGCTGGAGGAGAAGGCCAAGGAGCTGGGCTACAAGGTGGGCGCCCCTGGGCACGGCGGGCTGGCTGCCACTCAGGCTGACCCTTCTGGCCCCGGCCCCTTTGTCACCTCATGACGGGCAGTCCCCCACCTGCCAGCCTCAGTTTCCTCCTCCTGCCTTAGAGTCT